AAACCTGCAGATTGAGAGCGAAGTGCTCTGTTAGGAACATAAGGAACAATCAGATCTCTGATATCAGATGGAGCTTGGCCATTTAAGGCTTTATATGTGAGAAGGAGGATTTTAAATTCTATTCTGGATTTAACAGGAAGCCAATGAAGAGAAGCCAGGATAGGAGAGATATGATCTCTCTTTTTCATTTTCATCAGAACTCTGGCTGCAGCATTTTGGATCAGCTGAAGGCTTTTAACTACAGTTTGTGGACTTCCTGATAGTAAAGAATTACAATAGTCCAGCCTTGAAGTAACAAATGCATGGACTAGTTTCTCAGCATCACCCCTGGACAGGAGATTGCTCATTTTTGCAATATTCCTCAGATGAAAGAAGGAAATTCTAGAAACCTCTTTGATCTGGGATTTAAATGACAGGTCCTGATCAAAAATAACACCAAGATTTTTTACTTTATTATCTGAAATCAGTTTAATCCCATCCAAATGAAGTGACTGACTAATCAGCTTCTTTTTCAGAGACTCTGGTCCAAAGACTATAACTTCTGTTTTGTCTGCATTCAGAAGCAGAAAGTTAAGAGTCATCCAGGTTTTTCTGTCTTCAAGACATGCCTGTAATCTATGTAATGGGTTAGCTTCATCTGGATTATAGACAGATATAGCTGGGTATCATCAGCATAACAGTGGAAATTAATCCCATGCTGTCTAATAACTCTACTGATTGGGAGTGTTATGCCATATGCCATGATCATACCTTTTGGACATTGGGAACCAGTGTCCATATTTTATCCTGATTGGATGACCAGAGGAGAAAACGCAGCTTTGGTGAATAACAGCTGTGGACTTCTGCAGCCCCCCCCCCCCCCCTTTTTCAGCAAAAGCAGCCACAGGCAAGTCACATGGAAGCAACCAGAGGCGTGACCCCCCCGACCTTTTGCACCACATTTCTCTTCAGTTTCAGAACTTTTAGAGCCAATCTGGATGAGAACCATGCCCTGGGTGTGAGACTGAGACAAAGAGTCCCTGACTGCAGAGCTGCAAATGGATGAAACTCAAGCTTTCCAACTGGACATGGAAAAAGGTTTGCAGCTCTGGCATGATTAGGGACAGAACAAGCAATGTGTCTTTTGATGATGCTAATCATATCGTGTGTTTACTGATGAGTAAAGACAACGCTAATTGATGCTAAAGAATGGACTGCATGCTACGCTATGCTACAGGAACATGTGTTGAGCTGTTGCTAAAGCTTAGACAAGCTTTATTCACTAAGGATTTAAACACTGATTGAACATTAGTGTTCATGTGTTCCTCAGATGCTCATTACATTTCCATTACCAAGTCTGACCAAGAGTCATTTAGTGGAATCCTGATGTCTATTCGCTGCTAGCTATTTCAAAGAGGGTAAAGAATCATTTAACTAAAGGTTTTTGGTTCCTGATTAAGCAAATCATTCAATAAAACATTAATAATGTTTTATTCACCTCATGGATTTGCATTGTGAATTGGTCTGAAAAAATTCCAATTTCTCTAAATTAGTGAAAAGCTAATTTGATCATATCCCAAATTCTTCCAGATAAACTTTGGTTTCAAACACAGAATCCATCTTAAACTGTAATATGTTTTTCAACCGTTTCCCCTTCCTCTTTGTACATAGTAGTTAGTTTAGTTTAGTTGAGTTTTACTAGTCTTAGTTGAGAGTGTTAAACTGAAATATGTTTGACTTGGAGCTGAATGAGTTTTGTTAATAAAATCTTATATTTTGAACAGAAGTTGTGGTGAATTTATTCCATTAATGTGCAGAAATAACTGTTTGACCATGATTAGTGCTCGAATCACTCTTTCATCTATTGTTCTAACACACAGTTAGTAGGACTGTGTGTCATAAACAATATATAACAGCTGAAATAATATCTGATTAAATAAGATATTTTACCACCCCTACAGGGGAGGGCAATAAACATCTTTAAGTATCAGAAACATAAATTCCCAAATGGCTGGGAATAGAAAAGAACATAAAATCACAACAGGAGCATATATATAGTAAAGAAAATTGGTCCTAGTGTCATGATTTTCTTAAAGGATCTGACCTACATGCAGTAACACACTTAGAGAACCAGGGTAAAAGTTTTAACAGGTTACTTGATAAGATCAGCGGGGGTAGGATTTAGGAAACTGAGTGTACTTGTGAACCGGAACTGGAAGAGGGAAGGGAAGCTTCAGTGGTTAGGTCAGAATCCGTGGGAGCTTAGAACGATGACTTGGCGAGACAGAGAAAACGGAACACACGATAGTGAAGAAAACTTTCTTCCAATAAAAGGCTTTCCTGCTAAACTTTTGAACTCCACAGTAGTCTCTTTTTCACCATCTTTGTTTGCTTTATCAAAGAGAGGTTTCAAAGATGGATAATTTTCTTGTCTCTCTTTAAAGTTATTAGGAGATCAACCACTGGAGATCAACACATGGAATTAATGGTAATTTAGGTTCAGGAAGTTTTGACCTGCTTTTGTTTTTGTTATTCTCGTGTCTACGTTGTCGTTTTGGTTTCCTGATTTTACTTCCTTCTTCATACAAACCTTCATCTGCATCTGGCAGAGGTTCTAAGCCCTTTTTCATGGATCGTGTCATGACAGCACAGGAATATGCCACAGAATTTTCTTGAACCAAACTGTCTAGGATTGGTAAATCTTCCCCTAGGATAACATCATATGATAACTGATTCACAACTCCAACAGTCAACATAAAAGCTTGGCTTTCAACTTCAGTAGTGACATCTGCAGTTGGATACTCTTTCTGACATCCATGAACACAAGTAATGTTTACCAGTTTGTTAAAGTTTGACATTACATTGTTCATCAAAGAAGATTTCACCAAGGTTTGTGAGCTACCCGTATCTGCAAGAGCTTTTACAGCTTTGCCATTTATCATCACATCTACCAGATGTTTATGTGGAATCGAACTATCAGAAAGTTCATAATTATGTTCTTTGGAGGGTACCACACATAACTCTACTGACTTAGGTTTTCTTAAAGGACATAAAGAAGCTTTGTGACCAGGCTGCTGACAATAGTAACAAGTGAGGTTATACTTTAGTCTGGATTGTTCAGATTTCTTACCACCCCTCATGTCCAAGTTGTCAATATTTCCTGATTGTTCCTTATGTTCCTAGAAGAGAACTTCGCTCTCAATCTGCAGGTTTACTAGTGGTTCCTAGAATTTCTAAAAGTAGAATGGGAGGCAGATCTTTTAGTTCTCAGGCTCCTCTCCTGTGGAACCAACTACCAGTTTTAGTCCGTGAGGCAGACACCCTGTCTACTTTTAAGGCTAGGCTTAAAACTTTCCTTTTTGATAAAGCTTCTAGTTAGAGTGGCTCAGGTTATCCTGATCTATCTCTATAGTTCTGCTGCTATAGGCTTAGACTGCTGGAGGACATAGGGACCCCTTTTTCATCATTCTGCTTCATTCTATCTCTATAGTTCTGCTGCTATAGGCTTAGACTGCTGGAGGACATAGGGACCCCTTTTTCATCATTCTGCTTCATTCTATCTCTATTCTCCCACTCTGCACAATCTGTTAATGCTATGGAGCTGGATGACAGTTGCCTTTTGTATCTATGCTTCTTTTTCTATGTCTGCTTCTGTCTCCTTGAACCCCAGTGGGCCTCAGCAGATGGCCGCTCACACTGAGCCTGGTTCTGCTGGAGGTTTCTTCCTGTTCAAAGGGAGTTTTTCCTCTCCACTGTCGCTACAAGCATGCTTAGTGTGAGGGATTGCTGAAGAGTCAATGAGTCGATGTAATTTGCCCTCGTTTCTGGGTGTTTTCGCGGATCAAACCCTTTCTAGCAAAACGTCAGAGAGAATTGTCTAAAATCAGATCATTCCCTTTGTCAGTTAGAAGTCTGGTGACCTACACTCTGTCCCTCATAGTTCTTCTCCTTGATTGAGTAAAAATCCTTGAAACAAACATCAGTGAGTTTGTCTCTGATTAATAGTCTTCAATGTTTGATTAATAAAAAGATTCCTAACAGGCTTAGTTTCTGCATTTATAGACTAAATGAGTATTCACTTCCACGCATTTAATTAAATTCAGTTCCATTTATTTCTATAGTGGCAAAATAGGAAGTGTTGTCTCAAGGAATTTTACTAAAGAAGTGAGTTCAGTTCAATCACACAAATAAATTCAAAGCCGAGGTAAAATGTTTAGATCGGTTGTGTTTTTCTATCTGGGGAAAATTTAATGAAAATGTTTATGATTTGCTAGTTTTATGCACGTGTTGAATATATGTACTTCTCCTTTTTTTATTGCTTAAGGACTTATTGAGGATATGGCTTGTCTGTGTTGCCACTCTGAAGATTTTGAGCTAGGTATGGGTTTCTACAGAAAACCCTGCAGAATGCATCGGGTCGCTGATCTGCAGCATTCCAACCTCATGCATCTACTAGATTAGACTGAGACTCAACCAGAAAAGCTGTTTAATCCTGATCTCTTTACAAGAAGGGCGGAATTTGTTTTTTCACTTTCAGATATACCGTGGTGGTTCCTCCTGTTAATCTTTTATACAGTCTGGGGAGCAGATAACACATTAGTTTCATTTTTAGTGGTCGTCGGCCCATAAAAAGATAAAGCACACTGAATTCATAAACAAAGCTAGACCACAATGAAGCTGTTTTTCCCCTTTGATTCAGCTAATTATCTCTCATATCGAAGGCCATCTGTGAAGCATACCTTTGTTTTATCTTAATATTATTCAGCTATCATTTTAAGTCTAATTTCTGACTGATTTCAGATTGTATCAAAGAAAGTCCAGGTTCCATGAAACCAGCAAAAGTTTCCTTTATTCAAGGATTTCATTCGGTGAAACGTCCGACTTGATCTGCTTTATTTTTCATCTCCTCGTGGGAGTGCATGTTAGTGGGACTATGATGGTTTCAGTTTTGTTTAGAGAAGGTATGGGTGGGTCCAAGGATATGTATAAAAAACGAGGACCTTCCTTCCTCCTTTGTGATGCACAGCAGCCTGAGTGGTAAGTATCTTCACTGGGTTAAACATGGAGGTTTTTTTCTATTGTCTAATGCTGTCTCTATGAATGTTTTAGTGAATAAATCCAGAGCATTAAAGAAGCAGAACTTCAACACCAGGCCTGAGCAGAGCAAAGCCAACAAAGGTTTGTTCCAGTTTATCTCTTCCTCACTATGTTGGAAAATATATATATATTACTGAATTGTAAAAATTGGTGTAAAAATACACGCTTAAAAATATAGAATCAGACAACAGCCAGATGCATGTCTCGCTCCGCCTAGCTCCGCTCACATACATCTGGGAACCCGCTCATTAAAAGTGATTTCCCCAACCGGATTTATGGTCTGTCCAATCAGGACGCAGGGCGGGTGTGTCCTGGAGTGGAGAAGCGACCGTGAGATTCCAACAACAATGGCGGCTCGCATTGAGGAAGCAAGCGTTAGCATTGATGCTGCTATTTCTTCTGTGTTGTCCAATCTATCTGATATTGTTTCATTAAAAGAACATCAGAGAACGGCTTTTGTTGGTGGAAACGATGTTTTCGCCCTTCTCCCGACCGGATTTGGCAAGAGCTTGATCTACCAAATGGCTCCTCCTCTCACAGCGTCACGGGTTAGCTTCGGTGTGAGTGGTTGAAATAGCACGTCAATAAAGATGACAGACAAGTGGCTTATCCAATCATATGCAAGGAGTTTTGATAAGGCCCAGCCTTCAGTAAAGGCAATTCCTATGGCGGGTTCCCAGATGTATGTGAGTGGGGCTAGGCGGAGTGAGACATGCATCTGGCTGTTGTCAGGTTAATAGAACGGCGGTTTTCAAAGTGTGAGGCGCGCCTCCCCAAGGGGGGCGCCAGAGCACCTTGCGGTGCAAGGGAAAAAATAAATATGTATTTAGGACCAAGTTGGAACTGTGGGGTGCGCGTGTGGAGCGGGGATCAGTGGAAATGTTTCCCACCTTAGAGGATGTTTTGGCCAGAGCGGGGCTGAAGGTGGAGTTTTTACAGCAGGCTGTCTGCGCGCATTTGGAGGGGATGCGCGAGCAGTTTGTAGAAGAAACCTAGATCCCTGTCTAATTTCATTTGTCTTACCGCCCTAGAACCAGTGCAGCTGCTCCGATTCTAATAGTAACTTCTGACATATTTGTCCTGTTCTGTCGACCGAGACGATGATCCTGCTGAGGCAGTATTATTGAGAAATCCCACCACAGTATCGTCCAATATTATATGACTGCATATTTTCTCCAAACAGAGGATTACTGTGAAACAGTTCAGAAATGGAGGACAATAACAGTAGTTTTTTTTTAATGGTGATAAGTTATAAAATGATCATGTATATACATAGAAAATGGCAAACTTTGTGAATTAACATGTCATATTTAATTGCATTAAAACTCATCCAGCTGCAGTGTTCATGTTCAGCTTCCACCTTAGATTCACTCTCTATATTCTGTATACTGTGTGATTTTCGGGTCGATTCTCCAGTTGTGTGAGAATCTTCCGATTAGTCCGACTTTCAGCCTGATCGTACGTTGTGCATCATGTAGTGCACAGGGGCTAACGAGGGGGGGGTTAAGCCTCTAACAACCACCTCCCCATCAGGAATCGTGAGGTCGGGAGAAAATCAAACGTTTGAAATTCAGTCGGCCGTCGTAAGGTGGTCGTGGGCAAATGTAACCAAAATAACAGACTCAGAGTCCAGATAGCAGTTTACTACCAACCAGAATTTATTACTACAGAAATGAACCACACCTCAGTGTCTCTTACTGTAGTAGAAAATAGTATGTATGTATGTATATATATATATATATATATATATATATATATATATATATATATATATATATATATATATATATATATATATATATATATATATATATATAATATATTGCTCACCAAGATAAACCTTTTAAAACAATCATAGTCTGTCATTTTAATAAAACTATTCAAAGTGTGACTGTGGTGCTGATTATAAATACAGAAGTATGGAAAGCTATATCATTCCTTTTTTAATTTATAACCTCTTTAAAACCATTGTTAAATAAATGATGCTAAAATGATTCCTTTCCTTTATCTGTAGGTCGATCCTGTTGCTGGTTTGGGTTCAAACATTTGGCAGCATCCATCCTATTTTCCTTGGCAGGTAAGAAACCCTGGCCTTCCTAGAAAAACATTTTATATAGTAAATGATTTAATGACGGGGAATATCCAATGCAGTTTATTTCTATAGTGCCATCTGCTGAGGCCCACTGGGGTTCAAGGAGACAGAAGCAAACATAGAAAAAGAAGCATAGATACAAAAGGCAACTGTCAACCAGCTCCATAGCATTAACAGATTCTGCAGAATAGGAGAATAGAGATAGAATGAAGCAGAATGATGGAAAAGGGGGTCCCTATGTCCTCCAGCAGTCTAAGCCTATAGCAGCAGAACTATAGAGATAGATCAGGATAACCTGAGCCACTCTAACTAGAAGCTTTATCAAAAAGGAAAGTTTTAAGCCTAGCCTTAAAAGTAGACAGGGTGTCTGCCTCACGGACTAAAACTGGTAGTTGGTTCCACAGGAGAGGAGCCTGAGAACTAAAAGATCTGCCTCCCATTCTACTTTTAGAAATTCTAGGAACCACTAGTAAACCTGCAGATTGAGAGCGAAGTGCTCTGTTAGGAACATAAGGAACAATCAGATCTCTGATATCAGATGGAGCTTGGCCATTTAAGGCTTTATATGTGAGAAGGAGGATTTTAAATTCTATTCTTGATTTAACAGGAAGCCAATGAAGAGAAGCCAGGATAGGAGAGATATGATCTCTCTTTTTCATTTTCATCAGAACTCTGGCTGCAGCATTTTGGATCAGCTGAAGGCTTTTAACTACAGTTTGTGGACTTCCTGATAGTAAAGAATTACAATAGTCCAGCCTTGAAGTAACAAATGCATGGACTAGTTTCTCAGCATCACCCCTGGACAGGAGATTGCTCATTTTTGCAATGTTCCTCAGATGAAAGAAGGAAATTCTAGAAACCTCTTTGATCTGGGATTTAAATGACAGGTCCTGATCAAAAACAACACCAAGATTTTTTACTTTATTATCTGAAATCAGTTTAATCCCATCCAGATGAAGTGACTGACTAATCAGCTTCTTTTTCAGAGACTCTGGTCCAAAGACTATAACTTCTGTTTTGTCTGCATTCAGAAGCAGAAAGTTAAGAGTCATCCAGGTTTTTCTGTCTTCAGACATGCCTGTAATCTATGTAATGGGTTAGCTTCATCTGGATTATAGACAGATATAGCTGGGTATCATCAGCATAACAGTGGAAATTAATCCCATGCTGTCTAATAACTCTACCAATTGGGAGCATGTATAAAGTAAAGAGAATTGGTCCTAGCACTGATCCCTGTGGTACTCCACAGGCACACTTGTTTGTTAACTACTTTCTAAAGAATTTTAGATCAGAAAGGAAGATTAAATATAGGTCTATAATAAGGTCTATAACAGCTGATGGCTGGAAACAGGCAGCATAAATAGGAGCAGGAACAGGTGGGTCAGATGAACAGTGATAAGAAAACAGGGTAGAGTTATACAGGTGAATGAAACAAGTCGTGTTGCACTTATAACGACAGCAGTATCAGGCGGGGCCCCGATCCAGCACTAAAATGGTGGTACCGGTATCAGTGAGTACCAACAAATAGGGCACCGATACCATTTTGAGAACCAAAGGTTTCTTTAACTATTGTCACCCATTCCAGGTAGGCAATAAAAAGTTCTACTGGATTCACTTTGTATTTGTCATGTTGGGGTTGAGTCTCCTAACCCACAAGCAGAAAACACTCCAGAGACAGAAAATACAATAGTGAGATTTACTGACAATTAATTCAAACAAAGAGTAATGGAATTGTTGGTTCATCTGGCTGATCTCAGGGGGCAACTAGGGAAGGACAGATACGATTAGTCAGGATCCAGGAAACTTGCTGTTTGGCAGAAGTTTGGGATTATTACCTGTTTCAGACCGGGTGGTGGGGTGTGGACCTTGAGGGTCTAGAGGACGGTCAGCAGGTTGAGGGCTGAGGTCAGAGGCGGCGGTGGAGGGCGGACCAGTAAGACTCCAGGCAGCGAGGGTTCCGTCTTGAGGGTTGGTTGATCTCCAGATAATTCAGGATCTGAGTAGCTGAAAACACAGAGACTAGGGGATTCAGAATCAGGGAACTGATCCAGGTTAAAGGAGCTCAAAGTTAGCCGGTACCGTTACTGGCAACAGAGAAGTGTCAGCATCCTCCTCCATTTATACGCCTCCAAATGAGAAGATAGAGAACAGGTGTGCAGACGTCGACTCATGTCCTCAGGAGGAAGGTCTCAGACTCCCTCTGGTGGAGAAAAGTTGACAAACCTCTGGATCCCAACAGTATTAGTCTTTTTTCTTTTTCCAAAAAAATGGTATTGATATGGTATCGGTATCGGCCAATACTGCACAGCCAGGTATCGTATCGGACCCAAAAACCACCATCAGAACAACACTAAAAATGAGCAAGCAAGCCAGCCATCAGCACCAAGATCGTGACATTGGTTATCATTGGTATAGATATGCAATCGGTTTTATGATTATTTTTCTTAGTGAATTTATACTGAAGCATGAATTTTTTATTGCATAACACTTGCACCTCTAATTTAGTTGCATTTTACTGGCAACAAATTTCAGAAGTATGCAAATGTCCAACTCAGTGGATGCATAAAGAGAGGGCGGGAGTGGACTTCTAACACTTTGATAACTGCTTGTGGCCTGCACACATGAATTTCAACCACCTAGGTGCAATTTGGAGGAGTGTGTGCTTCTAGGAGGCTGGGAACTGTTCACACCATATATTGATTTTTATATTCAACTGAGGGTTGCACTATAGTTTTTATTTTTTGCAAAAGCCAGAGCAATGATGGGATTAAATGCACAAAAAAGCAATGCTGTCGAGAGTATAATGCTAAATGACTTGGTTAATGCCCAGGTTTAATGATGAGATCTTAGCTTTAGCATGAGGCCAGGATGGTGGTTCTTTCTTTAGATTATCTGCAGATCAATCCACCGTAACGTGTGCCACCATTCAACAAAGGTCCTTTACCAAAGCTGACAATATGTTGACAGTGAATATTTTGATTGCTCAGGAAAAACCAGGAGATTCTCTTCACTTATATAGAATGTTTTCCACATTACCCTTATTACTGTTTTCATTCTGCTTTGTCATTCTAAACATCCTTGAGACTCTGAGAAGTGGAGGGATGAGCAGGTCATTTTATTTAAACATGACTATGCTTTGTTAGTAATGGCATATTCACCTTTGAGTTATGATTAAAAACGTGTCTTCGATAATGATGCATCTTCATCTACATCTCATATGAAACAGTGGTTGGTAATAATTTTAATTGTTTTCTTCATTGATTTCTTCTTACAGATTTGGCTTTGAAAACAGATCAAGTTCCACATTGCAAAGTCTGCTTTAAAAGATAAAGTCATGAGCTTCTTTAAGTCAAGGCCAAAGAGGCTCTGTGATGATGTTAAAGCTAACAGCAAAAAGGTGGAGCCACAGATGGGACCTCTTCCTGTTTACAGAGTTCCTCTGAAAGAGGAGAAAATCGAAATAAATGGATGCAGGTTCTTCAGTTTTACTGCCAAACAGGCTACTGCCAAAGAACAGAGTCGCACCATCATGGTTCTTGGAGCCAGAGGTGCTGGGAAGTCGACTCTCATTAATGGGATGATTAATTACATCCTTGGTGTTAAATGGGATGACCCGTATCGTTTCAGCTTAGTGGACGACGGTCAAACACAATCCCAAGCTCACAGTCAGACTTCTGAGGTCACTGTGTACAAACTCAACCACAGGGAGGGGTTTCAGATTCCCTTCTCTCTGACCATTATAGACACTCCAGGCTTTGGAGACACCAGAGGGATCGACAGAGACAAGGAGATCACAGAGCAGCTCCGTAACCTTTTCACAAGTAAAGACGGAGTCACTGAAATCAATGCTGTGTGTTTCGTAGCTCAAGCTGCTTTAGCTCGTCTCACACCGTCACAGAAGTATGTCTTTGATTCTATTCTCTCAATCTTTGGCAAAGATATAGCAGAAAACATCAGGATCCTGGTAACTTTTGCAGATGGTCAGAAGCCACCGGTTCTGGAAGCCATCAAGGCTTCAGGCGTCCCAAGTCCTAAAGGCAAAGATGATCTTCCTGTTCACTTCAAATTTAACAACTCAGCTTTGTTTGCTGACAATAAATCCTCCTCATACACACAGAGTGGGGACGATGACGATGAAAACTTTGACCAGATGTTTTGGAACATGGGAACAAAAAGCATGAAAAGGTTTTTTGTTGCTCTAAGTCAGATACAAACCCAAAGTTTGAGTTTGACAAATGAGGTCCTGAGAGAAAGAAAACAGCTGGAGGTTACAGTAGAGAGTCTGCAGGGTCAGGTTCGACTTGGTTTAGCCAAACTGGAGGAGATCAGAGAGACGAGAAAACAAATCAAGGACAATGAGGCAGAGATCAGCAGAAATGAGAACTTTGAGTTTGAGGTCACTGTTAAAAAACCCATACAGGTTGATATCTCTGGTTCTGGGAACTTCATTACAAACTGCCAGCAGTGTCATGTCACCTGTCATTACCCTTGTGCGTACTCAAATGATGCTGATAAAAAAAAATGTGCAGCAATGGATCGGAATGGATACTGTACAGCATGTCCAAAGAAATGTTACTGGAATGTACATTTCAACCAAAAGTACAGGTGGGATTACAGAGATGAGACAGAGAAACGAACAATCAAAGAGCTGAAAGAGAAATATGATTTGGCCACAGAAGGGAAAATGACTGTTGAGGGAGTGATGAGAAAACTAAAGGATGAATATAAAACCATGCAGGATGAGGTGCAAAAATTAATGGAGAAATCAGCAAAGTGTCTGAACAGACTGAAAGAGATAGCACTGAAGCCCAACCCTCTCTCCACTCCAGAATACATCGATATGCTGATTGAAGGAGAGAAACAAGAGGGAAAACCAGGCTGGAAAAAGCGAAGAGAGTCCCTGATGCAAATGAAAGGAAAAGCAGAGTTAATGGCTAAAGTGGGAAAAGGAGATAAACCTCTCCTCAAACAGGAATCGCTGGATGTTACGTCCTAAACCAGCAGGTCTCCCCACAGGAATCTAGATTTGAATTCTGCAGCATGGTGAATACTCTGCTTGCTTTGGTTTGTTAGGTACGATTAGTAATATATGTTATATTATCATTTTAACACCATTGAATGAATTTAGGGAGGCTGCCCTCACCCATTATTATCTTTTGGACACTTTTTGAAACATCAGGACAGATTCAATGAAATATTTCCGTATGCTTTATGTAATCACAACGTTTCAGTTACTTTATGAGGAAAAGCATCAAATATTATTTAGGAAGTCAGAACATCACCAGAATAATTCCTCATGTTGGTTTGGTCTTAACCTTCCACCTCTCCCAGTTAACTGAGATGTTATGTCTCCAAACAGCAATGTTGGAAAAAACCTATTTTAATCAGTAGGAATACAAGAAAACCTTTTAACTTTTGAACTTTTACCTTCTTTTTTTCCTTCTGAAAAGTATCTGTTGCTGAATGCTCAGCCTTCTTTTTTTGGCTTAATCTTCTTGGTTCTTTTTTAATTAAAGTTGACAAGATAAAATCAGCTGATAAAATGTTTCTGAAATTTTGATGTGAAATCTGTTAATGTTAAAACATAATATTTTCCATCCATATCTCCCTGCTGGTAGTTTTGTTGGTGGGAACATGGAAGTCTTCACATTTAACGGATCTACTGCTATGTTTACCCCAGCTCCTTTCTGTTCTTCCTTTTTCAGAGATTTATGTCTAAATGTGCCCCTTTATTACTAAACTTTATATGATTTATTTCATTACATCTACTCAGATTGTTCTAATGTAACAGAACCTTATTGAAAAAACTTAACAAAAGTATTTTATTGCTCTGCAATTTTCATGGCGATATAAAAAATAAAAAAAAATATGGCAATGTAAAGTTCCCTCTGGTCTCTTTTCTCCTTTTTTCAAACACTGTATTCTACTCCTCTGTATCGGACAAACTTACATTAATAAATTCTGGCATTTATGTCTCAGATAATGCATGTGTGACCCACTAGGGGGTGGGGGGTCTTTTTAATAAGATGCACAGAACTGTCCAAAATACTTTAACAATTTCATTAAATTAAAACATGTATGTAGGTCGACTACACAGTACCTGGAAAGAAAAGGGATCATAGGAAGTAGGGGCAATTTAAATTATTTTTAAAAAATAAATGAAAAAAACAAAACATGAAATGCAAAAGGAAACTAATTAGTAGATCAAAACAAAAGCAAACATATTAATAATTTCAATAATAATAAAAAAAACAATAAAAGAAAAGCAAACAGTGGATCAAATTGTCACTGTCCAATTTCATCTAGCTTTCAATGGGTCCCGAGGAGCCATGCCTGTCCATTCAGCAACAGGTTTTGTTGAGAGTTGCCCAAACGAACGCCGTCAAAACCAGACAGCAGAGCGTCCAAAACGCTGCAGCTCCAAGACTGTCATGATGGGTCTCTGTGATTAAACCCATATGCGGAACACCACAGGAAACGGGGTAAAAGTTTAACAGTTTATTTGAGAAGCACACACAGAGTAAATGATTGAACTGGTTCTGGTACTGGTCCGGGAATGGTTTCACAGAGTAATCTGCAGAGAGGGATTATTTGGTTAGCCAGGTAGCAGCGATGTCTTGGCAGAGTTTATATTCTGATTTGTACCTGATGAGGTTCAGACTGATCGGTGGAGAGAGGGAACCGGTTGGGTCCAGAGACTGAGGGATCAGCAGAGAGCTTAGCAGCGACTGAGCTTAGCTTCAGGCTAGCGAGGTTCAGACCTTGAGTTGTTCTCCTAGTTCTCCCCTGAGAACTAGCTGGGAGATTCAGACAGGATCTTCAGGTTTAGCTTCTCCGGGCAGGCAGGAGGGTTTCCAAACATGAGCTCCTCCAGAGCTACAGACTTCAGTCGGGTTTTCCTATGAGCAGAGAAGACAGAGGCTGGTTAGGATCAGGTTGCTATCTAGAGCAGACAGAGATTCTTAATACAAGCTGAGGCTCAGGTTCCGCTAACCAAAACCGGTCAACACTCCGGCGCTGAAGACAGGTCTGGCCGCTGCTTAAGTAGATGGTCTCCTAATCAGGTGAATCAGCCTCAGGTGTGCAGGTGGCTTCATCTCAGGAGACCCAGGGCGCTCTCTGCTGGAGAAAGGTGGTAGATCTCCAGATCCCAACAAAGACAACCTTAAACCACAAAACCCATTAGCAAAGCTGTAAACTTCTGTAAAGTAAATTAAAATCTAAACAGTTAGATCACCCAGGAATGGAAACACAGCCTAACCAGGAAGAAAGCGGACCAGCAGGTAAGGACTAGATGGAAGCCGCATGCCTCAACAACCACCAGCTGCAGCCGCTAATACTAGCAGAGCAATGCTGTAGAAACACATGGCAGGGGTCTTTCTGCCCAACCACAATCCCAGCCATAGATGGCACAAATGGCAATTAGGATTTCAGATGAGAGGATCAAGCCCACGAGCCGCTTAGGCAGCCGACACGTTGGGGAAATAAAGACACATGCACCTGACAGAGGCCTGGTTATCTATAAAGCCATCTGCCCCACTCACCCATCAATGGCATGCTTCTTCCTACAACTAGTGCACAGAGTGGGGAGGGTGGAAAAGCATCCCAACACACATGCATGTTCAAATAAAAAAAGATTGTTTTTCTTCACTTAACAAACTTTACAAACAATATAAAACTGTTAAATAAATTCCCAAACTGGAAGGGTTTCCGTTTTAAAGACAGAACCACTGTCAGTCATTAATCTGCACATTAGGAACGCTGCCAAACATTGGTTCCTGCCCCGCATTAGGAACACTGCCAAACATTGGTTCCTGCCCCGCATTAGGAACACTGCCAAACATTGGTTCCTGCCCCGCATTAGGAACACTGCCAAACATTGGTTCCTGCCCCGCATTAGGAACACTGCCAAACATTGGTTCCTGCCCCGCATTAGGAACACTGCCAAACATTGGTTCCTGCCCCGCATTAGGAACGCTGCCAAACATTGGTTCCTGCCCCGCATTAGGAACGCTGCCAAACATTGGTTCCTGCCCCGCATTAGGAACGCTGCCAAACATTGGTTCCTGCCCCGCATTAGGAACGCTGCCAAACATTGGTTCCTGCCCCGCATTAGGAACACTGCCAAACATTGGTTCCTGCCCCGCATTAGGAACACTGCCAAACATTGGTTCCTGCCCCGCATTAGGAACACTGCCAAACATTGGTTCCTGCCCCGCATTAGGAACACTGCCAAACATTGGTTCCTGCCCCGCATTAGGAACACTGCCAAACATTGGTTCCTGCCCCGCATTAGGAACACTGCCAAACATTGGTTCCTGCCCCGCATTAGGAACACTGCCAAACATTGGTTCCTGCCCCGCATTAGGAACGCTGCCAAACATTGGTTCCTGCCCCGCATTAGGAACGCTGCCAAACATTGGTTCCTGCCCCGCATTAGGAACACTGCCAAACATTGGTTCCTGCCCCGCATTAGGAACGCTGCCAAACATTGGTTCCTGCCCCGCATTAGGAACGCTGCCAAACATTGGTTCCTGCCCCGCATTAGGAACACTGCCAAACATTGGTTCCTGCCCCGCATTAGGAACGCTGCCAAACATTGGTTCCTGCCCCGCATTAGGAACGCTGCCAAACATTGGTTCCTGCCCCGCATTAGGAACACTGCCAAACATTGGTTCCTGCCCCGCATTAGGAACACTGCCAAACATTGGTTCCTGCCCCGCATTAGGAACGCTGCCAAACATTGGTTCCTGCCCCGCATTAGGAACGCTGCCAAACATTGGTTCCTGCCCCGCATTAGGAACACTGCCAAACATTGGTTCCTGCCCCGCATTAGGAACACTGCCAAACATTGGTTCCTGCCCCGCATTAGGAACACTGCCAAACATTGGTTCCTGCCCCGCATTAGGAACACTGCCAAACATTGGTTCCTGCCCCGCATTAGGAACGCTGCCAAACATTGGTTCCTGCCCCGCATTAGGAACGCTGCCAAACATTGGTTCCTGCCCCGCATTAGGAACGCTGCCAAACATTGGTTCCTGCCCCGCATTAGGAACACTGCCAAACATTGGTTCCTGCCCCGCATTAGGAACGCTGCCAAACATTGGTTCCTGCCCCGCATTAGGAACGCTGCCAAACATTGGTTCCTGCCCCGCATTAGGAACACTGCCAAACATTGGTTCCTGCCCCGCATTAGGAACACTGCCAAACATTGGTTCCTGCCCCGCATTAGGAACGCTGCCAAACATTGGTTCCTGCCCCGCATTAGGAACACTGCCAAACATTGGTTCCTGCCCCGCATTAGGAACGCTGCCAAACATTGGTTCCTGCCCCGCATTAGGAACGCTGCCAAACATTGGTTCCTGCCCCGCATTAGGAACGCTGCCAAACATTGGTTCCTGCCCCGCATTAGGAACGCTGCCAAACATTGGTTCCTGCCCCGCATTAGGAACGCTGCCAAACATTGGTTCCTGCCCCGCATTAGGAACGCTGCCAAACATTGGTTCCTGCCCCGCATTAGGAACGCTGCCAAACATTGGTTCCTGCCCCGCATTAGGAACACTGCCAAACATTGGTTCCTGCCCCGCATTAGGAACACTGCCAAACATTGGTTCCTGCCCCGCATTAGGAACACTGCCAAACATTGGTTCCTGCCCCGCATTAGGAACGCTGCCAAACATTGGTTCCTGCCCCGCATTAGGAACGCTGCCAAACATTGGTTCCTGCCCCGCATTAGGAACGCTGCCAAACATTGGTTCCTGCCCCGCATTAGGAACGCTGCCAAACATTGGTTCCTGCCCCGCATTAGGAACACTGCCAAACATTGGTTCCTGCCCCGCATTAGGAACGCTGCCAAACATTGGTTCCTGCCCCGCATTAGGAACGCTGCCAAACATTGGTTCCTGCCCCGCATTAGGAACGCTGCCAAACATTGGTTCCTGCCCCGCATTAGGAACACTGCCAAACATTGGTTCCTGCCCCGCATTAGGAACACTGCCAAACATTGGTTCCTGCCCCGCATTAGGAACACTGCCAAACATTGGTTCCTGCCCCGCATTAGGAACGCTGCCAAACATTGGTTCCTGCCCCGCATTAGGAACGCTGCCAAACATTGGTTCCTGCCCCGCATTAGGAACGCTGCCAAACATTGGTTCCTGCCCCGCATTAGGAACGCTGCCAAACATTGGTTCCTGCCCCGCATTAGGAACGCTGCCAAACATTGGTTCCTGCCCCGCATTAGGAACGCTGCCAAACATTGGTTCCTGCCCCGCATTAGGAACGCTGCCAAACATTGGTTCCTGCCCCGCATTAGGAACGCTGCCAAACATTGGTTCCTGCCCCGCATTAGGAACGCTGCCAAACATTGGTTCCTGCCCCGCATTAGGAACGCTGCCAAACATTGGTTCCTGCCCCGCATTAGGAACACTGCCAAACATTGGTTCCTGCCCCGCATTAGGAACACTGCCAAACATTGGTTCCTGCCCCGCATTAGGAACGCTGCCAAACATTGGTTCCTGCCCCGCATTAGGAACGCTGCCAAACATTGGTTCCTGCCCCGCATTAGGAACGCTGCCAAACATTGGTTCCTGCCCCGCATTAGGAACACTGCCAAACATTGGTTCCTGCCCCGCATTAGGA